TGAATGCAAAATATGGGTCTAATGGTAAAACATAATGCCCTATATCAAATGCAAATAAAAATATTGACAGATATCCTATACGAAAGGAGAAGTTCAATTAACATCTACATTGATGGAAGTAATCGAGACAATTGATGACATACCCCAAAAACTCGCTATTCCTTCTCTATTTGCATTAATAAGATTTGTACGAGGCGCATTTTGAATATAATCCTCAAGTCCAAATCTCCATAGCGCGATTTGATAAACTGTAAAAAGAATTTGAATTTGAATTTTCATATTTTAAAAGCAAAACTTTTAAAAATCAAATAATAAAAAAAATTGCATACAAATAGCAATGAATAATCCCACAATCGAGAATCTCATATATTTTTGTAATGATCGACAAAGGGTAACAAATATAGGAAGGAATCCAAGTGTAAAAAAGAAATTCCAATGTACTCCATACTCGGTAACATGTTCCTATTCGCGTAAAAACAAAAGTTAACACACTTACAAGAGTTTTTAACGATCTTAAATAAACATCTATCTAAAAAATACCTGATAATCAACTCCTTTTACCATAATTAATCTGATGAATCCAAGTGATAAAATTGGAAAGGTTTGCTTTAAAGCCTTAACTAGCTGCCCTTTCAATGGTTTAAATCTATTCTCGGGTCTCTTTAAAAAGGGTTTTGCAGCCACAATACCTGAGGAAAATACAAACGATCCAACTCCCAAATCCATCTATTCTCAATGACGAAAAAAAAAATTATTTTTTATATATATATTTAAATTTATATTCATATTTTTTAAAAAAAGGTATTCACAAACAACTTACTAAAGAAGTTCCAAATGTTTCTGATTTTGCAAATCTTCTAGGAAAAACGAAAAAATCAACCGCCAAAATGGATATACAAGTTAAAATCATCATGCTAGCTCTATAAACGCTAAGAAAAGGTTTCCTTTGATTATTCTCTAATTTAATTTTCGAACTTTCATCGTCAATTCCATCCAATCCTTCTTTAATTAGCAAACTTTCTAAACCATCTTCATCATCTGATCCTTTTTCCCATTTACTCTTTTTCTTTAGCGCCTCTTGTTCTTCTTTAGTTGGTTTTGGTGCAAATTTAGAATTTATAAAAATCGATAAAGAAATAAGTAATAAGTTTATATAAAAAGCGTAAGATGACAACACTGTACAGGCAAATACACTTGGTAAAACTAAGATTATGAATTCTAAAATTAAAGTTCCTATATCGTTTGTTGCATAATTAAATACTTTTGTATATTTTGCTAAAGCTGACCAAAGAATATACGATGACTGTGATTGAAAAAAAGAAAAATTTAAAATTTGTCTTTTAATTAGATATTTAAAAGTTATAAAAGAAGAAATGCCTTACTAAAATAACTCCGGTAACAAAGTTAATTTCCCACATAGAACCACCGCTGTGACCGGTAACCCAATCTTCCTTTTCTTTTTTATATGCTATTTCATCGAAATCATCCATTTTATTGATTAAAAGCAAAGCGAACCAAGCTATTTATGGTCTTTTTTTTTTCGTGAAGAAAAAAAATTAATCGAAAATCTCCACTATATATACCTTTTTTATACGTGTCACAATCTCGACATGGTGTCACAACTTTATGTTTTGCAAAGTTTTTATTGGACTAGAATTGAATTAAACCCCAATATCCTTTTTTTTATACAAATTTAATTTAAAAAAAATACTATTAATACTAATTTATCAAACAAGAGGATTGATCAATTTAATTCAAGGAATAGGTACTTTTCTACATTAGATTTACCCTTCTCAGTTTCCAAAGGTTCAAATACACCAAAATGAGAGGAAAAAACGATAGGGAAAAAACTTTTCAAGAATCTTCTTTGACAATCCTCAATTTTTCTATCACATTCATCAAATTTGAATAAAATCTCATATAATTTAGAAGGGGGGATTACGGGAAAAGATTGTACGGATCTTTTTTTATCAACAAAATTATTATGTATGACGCATCCGTGAGTAATGGAATGGGAACAACCATGCTTATAATCTTGTTCCACATCCAATCCCGATAAATTTCCTATGGCCAAGATATAATCAAGATGTTTGGATAACAACGAAGCAGCAGCTTTACAAGATAATTTTTGAAAATCTTGTGAAGCGTTAAATTCCGCCAAGTTATTTAAGACAAGTTTAGAAGATTCTTTATAAACATATTTAAACCCGTATTGATCTGCCAAACTAAAAGCAAGAAGAGGATTCTCGGCAAAGTGAATTTCCAAGAATTCTTCGGCGGCTTCAATCACCACGGTAATTTCATACTTATCACCAATTTCCAATAATGAATCAATATTTTCCCAAGAGATTCGAACGTATTTTCTTGGATAAATAAAAGTTAAAAGGTTTTCGAAAACCGTGGAGGAGATATTAGTTAAGGTGATACAAGAGATGTTTTCGTTATTAGAGGAGGGAACGGAACAAGCGAACATGTCTTCAAATACCCTTGAAGCCATTGCCAAGAAACTTCGATGAAGACGAAACAATGTATCATTTACGGTCACCAAAATATCACCATCTTCATAATAATGAAGGGTATTTCGTTTAGACATTTTCAAAAAAAAAAAAAAAATCAAAAATGAGTAAAGGAAAAGAAAAAAGGAAACAAAACGATTTATTTATATAAATAAATAAATTTTATAACCACCTCTCAAATTTAGAATAGATTTACGTAATAGTTCAAGAATCAAGAAAATCATCACCAATTTCAGATTAAACCAAGCCAAATTTATTTAAATAGTCAGCTGACGATCTTTCCAAGAAACGACTCAAAGAAAAAGTTGAAAAAATGAACAATGAAAAAAATTTTAACGTATTTATAAATATTCTATCTAACACAGTATTTTTAGAAACAAAATTTCCGAATTAATCTTTTAATTCGATAAAAATGTAATGCTCGGCATCCCTTTTTGATTTTTCAAATTTTAAGGGTTCGAAATTACCAAAGTGACCAATAAACTGCTTGGACAAATAATCGTTGAAAAATCTATATTCACACTCACTCCAATTTCTATTCATGTAATCTCTCCAAAATTCCATCATATGTTTTAAAATAACATTCATCGATTTTGAGGGAGAAAGTAATGTATCAGAGTTCAAAAAACGACATCTCTCCAAAAATGATTCATACCATTTATCGATTTCATGCTCATGACTTGTATAAGAAAGAAAACTAAGACGACACACGGAATGATGTTGAAAATCCTTGTGTATTTTTAAAGAACAAATGGTTTTGATAGAAATGGTGAAATCAAGATATTTTTCGAATAAAGCAGATTTCGTCTTATGAGAAAGTAAGAGAAATTTTGAATGTTGACGATACTCTTGAAATCTGTTCAAGACCAATTTTGAGGATTCCTTATAAATGAATTTGAAATGGTACCTATCGGCTAATATCAAGGAGGAAAGAGGTTTTTCATGAAAATGAGATTCCAAAAAATACTCTGCGGCTCCGAGTACGGTAGCAAACTCATACTTGTCACCAATTTGACAGAATTCCGAGATGATATCCCAAGTTATTGGGACGAATTTTTGTGGATAAATAAATGTTAAAAATTGTTCAAAAAGCAAAGGGGATGTATCGGTAATATTTATACGGGACAAATCTTTATCTGTGGATGAAGTAACACAGGAAAGCATATCACGAAATACTTTTGATGCCATGGATAAATAATTTCGGTGAAGACAAAAGGCGGTGTCTTGTACAATCAGGATGATATCCCCATCTTCGTAGTAATGTAAGGAACTTTTTTGAAACATGGCGAAAAATGGGGAAGTTATCGGGAATGAGAGGGTTAAGAATGCATTTTAAATCTTAACAGTCACCCAATTTAATAAACTCGTGAGAGATCATGATGATAAATTGAACAACAATTACTGCGCCTCGACGAAAAGCCGTAGCTTTACTGCGGACGATGGTAGTGATGGAATTTTTATTTTCGAGAACAAGGGATCATTATTACCCAAGATTAATTGAATGGATCTTCCATGATTTCCTTCCGTTCATTTTCATGACATCGATACTACTATTCAATCGCAAAGATATATAATTTCAATATGTGTGCAAATCAGGAATATCTGGTCATCGCATGTCGTACCAATAAAAATAATGTGTAATTATTTAAATTTGTGTCAGTCAAGGTACTAATTAACTAATGCGGAGAAGCATTTATGCACATTATGCATGAATTAATTTCTATATGCTTAAAATTTGTTTTCCTTCAAAAGTTATAAACAATCCGCAACAAATGATCGATTTTACGACTAAAGGTAATAACTTTCTTTTTTTATGATAACCAATCATCTGAATGTTCCTTCAATTTCAATAACGTTGTATGGACGTACAACGAATTACCAATTAACTACCTTTATTTGCATCCCAGCTGAGTGTAGAGTTTGTCCCTAAAGAATTGGAGTTTGATCAATTCTTAACAGAAACGAAAGTGAACTTTTTCCTTTTTTTTGCTTTAGAATCCTTAATTGCTCCTTCAACTAATTAATAATCATTCGAAAAGAATCCCTTCTTGTTTCTTTTTTTCGTCTCATCCCATCCAGAATTAACTCACCTCTTTTTCGTTTCTGTTGAAGTGTCGATTATTATTCTAATTCTAAAAAAAAATTATTATTTTTTACTTTCCTTAATACAAAGATTTTATTTTTATTTTTTTTTTTATATCCAAATTTCCAAAAATCGCTTGACGTTTTTTCTCCTCATTACTCAACTTTTCATAACGAATATAAATTTGAACGTTTTGTACTTAATATATGTTATACTTTTAGCATCTTTCATTAAACGTTAGTAAATAACGAGCAGGCTCGTAGTATATATTATATATATATCTATATATTTTTTTTTAAAAAAAAAAAAAACAAAAATATTCTTAACGTTAGATAAATAAATCATTGTAAAATCAAGTTATCGCAAGGTAAAACTTTGCGATATATCTATTTTCTTTTCACATGGCTGCTGATAAAGGTTCCGAGAAAACTTCGGTGCAAGTCGGTATGTATCGTAAAAGCAAATTTTAATTAAACGAATAAAATAATGCAAGGAAATAAATATTCATTTTCGAGAGATTGTAAATTCGTAAATTCTAATCGACGGTTTTATTTTATTTAGCACTTCGCATAAGACCAATTACAAACGAAGATACTGCAAATTTACCAACGCGATTTCAACGACAAATTCTTACAACATCCTCGCATATACCAAATCAAGTTGTCGTACAAGGGCAAAATGATAAAAAACCACAGAATTTTAGCTTTGACCATGTATTTGGTCCAGATACGAAACAGAACGAAGTATTCGAGAAGGCGGTATTAAATTTAGTCGATAAATTCTTGGAGGGTAATTTTCGGGAATTTTCAAGGGAATTTACGGCACATTGGGAATTTCTTGTTTTTGATTTTTAATCATTTCCTTATCTATCATAGGTTATAATGTGACAATACTTGCTTATGGGCAGACTTCCTCGGGTAAAACACACACGATGGGAACGGTGGATAATTCTTCCATACCTCCTGAATACAAGGGAATAATTCCGCGTGCAATGTCCACCCTCTTTTCTACCATAAATTCCGCTCAATATAAAACGAGAAAATTTACAATCAAAGTTTCATTCGTTGAAATATATAATGAGGATTTGATAGATTTATTGGGAGAGCAAATGGATGGCGAGAATAAGCCTCAGGTGGTGGTTCGAGAAGATTCAAAGGGTAATATCCTTTGGAGTGGCTTACAGGAAATGAGCGTTCATAACGTCGATGAGGTTATTGAGTGAGTATTGTAGTAATACAGTAGTTTTTTTGCGTGTGACAAATCATTCTTTAAAAAAAAAAAAAAAAAAAAAAAATTATTTATGAAATTTCGTGTATTATTATTATTATATAGATATCTGGCGCGCGGATCTTTAAATCGACAGGTCGGTGCGACAAATATGAATTCTCAATCTTCCAGGTCTCACGCAATCTTTTCGGTTGTTATGTCGCAACAAAAAGGATCGAACGCATCGAGTTTACCAATGTCTCCGACTAATGGTAATCCTAGATCTTATTCGCGATTAAGTGGATCCCGTCCGTCATCGAGGTCACAGATGAGGACGAGCAATCGCGATGATGTAGAAAATATGACTGTGACAAGTAAATTCCATTTTGTCGATCTGGCAGGAAGTGAACGGGTAATTATCGGGTCAAATTTGTTTTTCATTTTTTTCATTTTTTTTTTAAGTTAAACATACATTTATTAAAAAAATTTTTTTTTATTAGCTTAAACGAACTTCTGCAATCGGGGATCGTGCGAAAGAGGGTATCTCAATTAATTCAGGTTTACTGGCTCTTGGGAATGTAATATCCGCCTTGGGTGATCCCTCAAAGGCGAAACATACTACTCATATTCCATATAGAGATTCTAAGCTTACTCGTTTATTACAAGATTCCCTCGGTGGTAACGCACAGACGTTGATGATCGCATGCGTTTCACCTACTGAATATAATCTCAACGAAACAATTAATACGCTCAAGTATGCTAATCGTGCTCGTAATATTAAAAATTCCGCAGTCGTAAATCAAGAGGAAACCGGTTGGAACGATTTAGAACATTTACAATCCTTAGTAATGAAACTTAGATCGGAAATTAAAGCTTTGAAATCTGTTAATCCGAATTCAGAAAATTCTTCTGATGATATGTATCAAAGTGAATCTGGTCGAAGCACGCCAGTTCATTTTCAAAGAGGGGATGGTTTTAAAAGATCATCTCTCAATACCTTTACGACTGCAAGCATAAAAGCTACTTTAAAGCATAACAAAGACATTGAATTATTAGAGGAACAACTAATGGATTTACAACGTTCCTATTCTGAATTATCACAAAAATACGCGATAACGACCGCCGAACTTGCCTTGCACCAAGATAATGATGCCGCACATCTAATTAACGAACATTCAAATCAGTTGGGCGTGATAAAAGAGGAAGAAGAATCGGACTTTCGAAAAGCTGCAGAACCTGTAATTGAAGAGTATGAAAAATCTATTTCTTCACTTGAAAGTCAACTTGCTCTATCACATGCTGCTTTAAGTCATACTGAAACTTTAATGCAAGACCGAGAAGGTAAATTAGAGTATGCAGTGCAAATTAATGAACAAAATATTAATTTAATAAATGACTTTAAAAAGAAAATCTCAAATCTCAGTGAGCGTGAATCTACAAGCGAACAATATATTAAAGAACTTGAAGATAGACTTGAGAATCACTCCAAACAACAAAAGGGAGATCAAGAGTTGATTAATGAATTAAAAAGCAATATCGCTCATTTGAAAACAAGTGAAGCTAACACCGAATCTTACGTTACAACTCTTGAGACGCGCCTTGAGTCAAGTGATCAACGAGTTGAAAAGTTTACTCAGGTTGTTGAAAGATTAGAAAAAAGGTTGCAGCAAAGGGAGGAAGCTTATCTTGAGTTAGAATCAAAGATGAAATCTTCATATTCTGAAGAAGAAATGAAATTGTTACGGGAAGAAATCGAAGAACGTGATCATAGAATCTTGCGACTTGAAAAAAAAGTTGATGAACTTGTAAATGAGTTAGAGTTATTGAGAAGGTTAAAAGGTAAAGAGGGTGCCGATGAAAGATCCACTTTAACTTCTTTGATTACTAATTCTTCAGAATCGTCAGTGAGTAATCAAGAAAAATTGATTATAATGTCCCTCGAAGAAAAATTAGAAGACTTACATAAAGTGCATGAACAAACTGTTAACGAGTTCAGTGAAATCAAAAATAAATATGAGGGATGTCTTCAAGAAATTCATGAACTACAGAGCCAATTGACTGAAGTGAAATTGAATCATTCGGATTTATTTGATTCTGATCCTTCAAGCCCATCAACTCCATCGACGCCATTTTCTAATTCAGTAAGAATGTCTCTTCCTCCTGTACGTATTAATAAGGAACGAAACAAAGACGCGCTAGCTTTTGTCAATGCTATGGTTGCCGCTAGAAAAAGATCACATCGTAGAGCCAGCTCATTATCACCAGAAATTATTGATAAAGAGAAGAAAGACATTACCCACGAAGCAATTGTCAAAAAACTTCAGAATGAAATTCAACAACTTGAATCCTTGCATCAAGATAAGGCAAGCGGTTTGGAAATTTTTAAACATGAATTTGCACGTTTAGAAATGACTCATCGTGAAACTTTGGAGGTTGTACAAGAGCTTCGTGAAGAAATAAAGAGACGTGATGCATTAGCTCAGTTGGAAGTGATGTCAGTAATAGCATCTTCAGATGGTGATATGTCGGGATTTACAAGTGAAATTGATGAACATGAAATCATACATCGTCTGCGTGAAGAGGTAGAAAATCTTCGGGAAGAACAGAGGGAAATACTTGAATCCATCTCTGAACGGGAAAAAGACATTTGTAAAAAAGGTTCACAAGTTGTAAATTTGGTTTCGAATATCCGTGAGCTTCGTGAACAATTATGTCTTGCACTTGAAAAGGATCAAAAGATATCAGATGAAAACAATGCAGAAAATACAAATCTTATTAAAGAATTACAAATCAAGGTTAAAGATTTAGAGCAACAACTTGAAAGAGAACAAGGAGAACATATACATTATGAAGTCTCTAGCGTCGTCAACGAACCTAATGAACTAGACGATTCAAATAATCAAAAATCAGAACATGACAAAGAACTCCAACAAAGAACAGAAGAAGTTGATAACGAGATTATTTGCCTTAAATCAAAAGCAGAAAAACTTCAGGCTGTAATCGAGGCAAAAAGTCATACAATCGCGGTTCTTTTATTGCCAACTGTTGAACAGGATACGATTCGCAAACTTGAAGATGAGCTTCATGAAGTTAGACAGACTTATCACGAGGCATTGGAAAAAAGTAACAATGATCAAGAGACCCCAAATTTTGTTTTAAAAGAAACTTTGGGCGAGTTAGAACAAAATGTTAACGAAAATCTTACAGAATTAGGAGATAAAATTAAATATCTTGAAAATCAGCTGTCAAAAGCTAAAGAGTCACAACATGAGACTTCACGAAATTCATTGGTTTTTTCAATGAATCCTACACGAAAAACTGTTGAGATTCTTCAAGAAAATCTTGCCATATTGCAACAAGAAATATTTAACAAATTCGATAAAGCCCAACACTCATCAAGTGATGGAGACTTAATAGCAGAATTACGGTCACAACTTGATAAACTCAATTCGGATATTAAAGAGAAGTATGAACTTATAGAAACTTTGAAAAAAGACTTGGTTGATAAGAGTGTTATACAACAAAAATTAAGGGAGAAAGAAGCCGAAGCATCTTCACTAAGGTTACAACTTTCCGAAGTTAAGGATCGCGATGAAGAGATGCAAAATCAAATTAAACAACTTCAAATCGAGTTAGAAAAAATTGAATCCCATAAAGTGGATAATGAGGCTTTAACTTCCGAATTAGAAGTTGTAAGAAAAGAACTAAAAAATTCCAAAGAAAAAGAATCTTTTGCATTTGAACGTTTGAAAATGTTGGATGTTGAAGAAACAAAAATTCGTCAAGAGATGAAACGGTTGAGAAACATTGAGCTTTTGCAAAAAGAAAGAATTACGGTTTTAGAATCTAGATTATCTAGAAATAGTTATGGACTTTTTGATGGTGATGCTGTAAAATTGAAAAGTGAATTAGTAGCAGCAAAAGAAATAGAAATGTTACAAAAGAAGACGATTGCTGACCTTGAATCGAAACTCGAAAAATCTATAATGGAATATAAATCGTTACAAACAAAGATTGACTATATTAAATCTAAAGCTTTAATAAACCAAAATCAAATTCTTCAACGAGAAAATCAATTAGCTAATAATGAAGATTCGGAGAAAGTTAAACAACTAAAGGAAGAAATTGAAAATTTGCGTGTTCAAGAAACAGAACATCTTGAAAAAATTGAAACACTCGAAACTCAATTATCACATATACAAAAAAATAATGACGTTGCTACATTTAAAAATGAATTATCCTCATTAAAAGAAATCAAATTAAACTTTGAAAAAACAATTAAAGATTTAGAATTTAAACTTTCGATAGCAAAAAAAGAAACCGAAAAGTTACAGATAGTGAAGGAAGAGATTAAATTATTGAAAGTATTAGAATCTGAACAAAAATCTATTATTGATCAATTACAGGTTCAACTTCAAGAGAAAACTCTTGCCAAAGATTCTGTTATTAAAGAGTTGGAAAGTTTAAAAAAGGATTTTGGTTTACAAAAGGAAATAATTGTTACATTAGAAGGGGAACTTAAAAACGTAAGGGAGGAATTGGGTTTAGTAACTGAAAATAATGATGCCAGTTCAAAAAAACTTGAAGATTTATCCAAAATGTTGAAAGTCACTTTATTACAACGAGATACGGAAGTGAAAAAATCAAAAGGTTTGGAAAGTCAAGTGGAACAATTAAAAATTTCAACAACTGCTGGACAAAAAGAAATTACTACGCTTCAAAATCAATTAACAAACTCCAAGCTCGAAATGGGGAAACAGAATGAACTTTTAGCAAAACTCGGAGGAAAAATGATGATTATTGAAAAAGAACGCGAACAGCATGCTTTACGAATTGAAGAACTAAATGAGACAATTAAAATTAAAGAAGCCGAACAAAAAGAAGCAGTTTCAACTTTAGAGTCTATAATAACAAATCTTCAGATGCAACTTGTCGAAACTGAGAATTCATCACAAGTTGATGCGAAAACGATTAAAAGACTTGGTGACAAACTTGCTACAGTCGAAACACAGCTGGAGAAAGCGAAAGCTTCAGATCGAAAGCGTGCACAGATAATAAATGAATTTGAGGGTAAATTGAAGAAAACCAATTTCACTTTGATGGAGAAAGAACAATTATTATCTACGCAAGTTACCCTTATCCAAGAGTTGGAAGAAATTGCTGAGAAAGCACAAATTGAACTTAAAGATGCAAAAAAATCCGAGGCCGTTGCATCCAAAAGAGCCAAGGAGCTTGAAGTGAAACTTGATGAATTCCAAGCTAAATATGAAGGAAATTTATCATCACTTAATGATAGTATGAATAAAATCAAGAATGAACTTAAAGAAGTCAGAAGTTCTAAAGTTAAACAAACCGAATTGATCGACACACTTGAAGTGCAACTTCAAGAAGCGGAAATTAATAGGGATCGAGAAATGTCTAAACTTCAGAAAGCAAATGTTGAAGTTGCAACACTAAAAGAACAATGTGATCAGTTGAAAAGTCAAATCAATGACGCAAATACTTTACAAAATTATAAGAATATAGATATTTCTATCGTTGAAGATCTGACCAAACAACTTGAAACAGCTAAAGCTGAATCGATTACATATCATGATCGTGTAGAAGAATTAGAAAATATAACAAGAAAACTTGAGTCTGATAAGAAAGGTCAGGTGAAAACGAATGCTAATTTATTACAACAAGTTGAACAGCTTCAAAAGAAATTAGAATCCTTAACCGAAGAATTTCTTGATTCTGCTGCAAAACAAGAGGATGCTGATATGCTTTCGAATGATCAAAAGAATCGCATTACTGATTTAGAAAATGCACTTGCAGAAGTAAAGAAAATAAAAACCAACCATTTTATTACCTTTAACAAAGAAACGGAGAATCAGGATGATGGATCAACCAAATTTTCTTTTGCAAAAATAGCAGAAGTTAACGAAAGTCTAAATAAAACTAATGAGAATCTCACAACAAAAATTTTACAAGCTCAAATTCGAATGAATGCTCTAAGTCAAAAGATAAAGCATTTGGAGAGTGAACTTTTGAGCATCAGAATTTTCGAGAAAAATGCTTCTAATGATTCTGATTCTAAAGATGGTGAATCGTTTAAAAATCTTAAAGGAAAAATTAGAGAACTTGAAGCTGAAAAAGAAGGACTAGAACGAGCTAATTCTGCATTCTGTGAAGAGCGCATTAAACTTGATCAAAAGATAGAATCTTTATTACAGCAGTTAGAAACAACAGGTCATGGAGGAAATGGAACTGCTTCACAACTTTCCGAATTAAATAATAAAATAATTGAACTTGAAAACGAGGTTTCAAGCTTAAAACAAAAGTCTGAAACAGATTCAGTAGAGATGAAGGGAGAAATTTCAAGATTATTGGAAATTAACGAAAAATTAGGGAAACAATGTCAAAAGAACGAGATCAAGAACCATGTAAAATCTGTTGTTCCAAGAAGCAGTTCAATGCCACCACACAAATTGGAGCAAATTTCTCCTACAGTTAAAGAACGTCCAAGAATTACAAGTCTTGACGGTTCAATACAAACAAAACTTTCACAACAAGAATGCACTATTATAGAGCAAGAAGATATTATCAAAGCTCTTAAAGAAAGGATATTTGAGCTTGAAACTCGCACAGATGATGAATCGTTGTATGAAGTATCTTTAACTAGTGGAATGCTGGCAACCGATCTTGAAGCCGTTGGCGGTTTCCGTTTGTCTACAATGCCATCAAACTTTTCAGATATTGTGAAGAGAAAGAATATAAAACCAAATGCTATTGCTGCAATTGCGAACCTTCCGATCACTCCTCCACCAACGCCACCGCCATCTCATTCTTTATTAACAAGTTCTGGACATGGTACAATTAGTCCGCCTCCAAGAAATGCTAGTTCACCTAGGCCCGATTCACGAACTGGATTCGACTTTAATAATGCTCATTCGGCAGAATTTACAGTGGAGATTCAAAAATTACATAGAAGAATTGCTAAAATGGAAGGCGAAAGTCTTGAGAGCAAACATCTAATTGATACTCTAGAAAATTCGTTGACAGAAAATGAAACAAATCTACGCGTTGCAAAACAACAATTGCAAATATTACAGCGTGAAAAGATGGATCTTTTGGATCAAATCAAGAAATTGAAATCAGAATTAGATGAAATGACCGATTTATATGAAGACGCAAAATCATCTGTACAAAAAGAAAAGCAGGTTATAGAAACTGTTTTAGAAGAAGAAAGAAAGGCGAAAGAATGCGCTGAAAAAGCAAGACGACAACTTGAAACTCGTATGGAAGAACTTATGGCCAAGAAAAGCAAATTTATGTGCTTCTAATGTTATTAATATCAATTTTTATTAAATATACTCAACTTATAATTTCATTTTATTAACTAATTAATTATTACACTTTTTTTAATATATTGTAATTCTTTTCTTTTCTTTATAACTTATATTTATTATTATTATTTATATATTATAACTTGATTTTTGATCGATAAAACTAATGGCCTTTTTTAATAAAAAATTTTACTCACCCTTGTATTTATTGTACAGAAATTGAAATTTTGTTTGCTTATTAATGTTTTCAACTTTGAATAATCAAAAGATTTAAGAAATATCAACATTGCTAAATTCTCTAAGAAAGAACCACTTATGAATCCTCTGCTCTTGGTAAAATCTTGAATAAATGATTCTGATATAAAAATCTATGGACTTATGAGCTTTAACTTATAAATGTTCCTATTCTTAATGGTAGTGGTAATGAAATATATTTCTTCGTTCTAACAAATTTTAAGATTGGATTTTATATTAAATAATTTCACGATTTTTTATCCCTACGTGATCTAGTAAATTGTTAAAATATTTGTTACCCCGCGCCATTATTTGTCACAAGGTTAATTTCTTAACCGCGTGGTGGTGAAAACGATACCAATTAATTTTTATAATTTAAATATTCAATATACAAAATAATTAATTTATATACTTTATTTATTTTATTTTAATTTATTAATATAAGTTAAAACTTTAGTAAATTACCTAATACCTTTTGGATGCGTATCCATTTACTATAAAAATAATAATTATTATATATATAAAAAAAGTTTTTTTTTTTTTAAAAAAAAAAAGACCATTAACTAAATTAAAATAATTTTTTTAAATAGTTAATAATTGTAAGAAAAAAGTTAATTTTTATTATTATTTATTTATTAATACAGTCAACTCTTTCTACAGCGAATTTTGATATAACGAATTTTACAATACAACGGATTTTCAGTGTCGGACAG